TAGTTTTTATTAATATTATTTATTTTTTCTTTTATTATTATTTTATTACTTTTATATATATTTATATCTGACATAATAATAACATTATTATATACATTAATATTTACATTTGTTAAATTATATTACAAACATACATACATATTACAACTACAAAGATGCAAGAAGGAGCAGTTACTGTAAAGATGAACACACTGAACTTTTGAATAAGTCCATTATTCAGCATTATAATATACATTTCTGACTATGAAATCCAACCAAAACGTTTGCAAATGACACAAGAGCTGAGTGTTTTTGTGTCTTGTTGAGTCAGCATGTGTGTGTGTGTCTGTGCTGTACCTCTGTTAAGCAGGTAAATCTGTGTGTCCTGTTTGGAGAAGCAGAGGGCATCAGTCCACAGAATATGCTGCACACAAATCCTTAGTGCTTTGGTCCCGATACTGCTCAGACACGCACACAAACACCCTCTGACACACACACATACGCAAACTCTCATGGACGAACCTTTTGAGGGACACGCGCAATCCAGCCGGTAAAACAGAAGTGAAGAGCACTGAAGCACTGGAGGTCCGAGGACAACTGCAGCTAGTCTGTTCAACAGCAGCCCCGCCTCCTCTCTCTCTCTCTCTCTCTGAAAAATCAGCTAAAATCTGGCTCACACTCAACTTTTCCCCTCCTTGGCTGACTGCCTGTCTCTCCCTTCCTTCCTCTCACCCCTTCTATCTCTGCTGCTTTCCTCCCTCCTCCTCTCTCTCTCTCTGAGCAGTAAATGTGGGTTCAGGTTGTTAGGCAGTGTTATTTGGGGTCCGGAGTCTCTTCTGCATTGCAGTTTTTAGAGAGGCAACAGGGAGGACAACTCCAGAAAGCAACATGAGGGGTCCGCCAGCACCACAACTACTGGGATACACATCGATTAACAATGACTGAGAGACAAGAGCTTGTTTGACCCCTATCAACAAGAGTGACACGCATCACTGTCCCGTACTGTGGAAGACACATAAATGAATATGAGCACACCGTACATGTATATGTGTGTGTTCGCCTGTAAAGTGACTGCGACTTTGAATATGTGTCTATGTCCCTCTCTCACACATCCATGATAAATGGGCAGAATTGAGTTTCCTATGACTCTGCATTTCTCAACCCCACCCCCTCTGATATTGATAATAGGCTGCACCAGCAATGTCAGGTTTTCCTGGATAAGGACAATTGTCATCTGAAACCAGAAATTGTGTACTTGGGACTCCTAGAAATCTATGTAAACTAGGATGTGCTGTAAATGGGTGTGAAGAGCTGCATTTGTATTTATTGGTGAATCACTGGAAAAAGAAGCCATGATGAGTATGGTTTTTTCTTATGCTAAACAGAGGACCAATGATCAGTTATTTAAATATTGAGGAAACATCAAGCTGTCATCTGCCATATTCCAGGACCATTTGTTGTTAGGATGTCAAAAAGTTTTCTACATAGCTAAAAGTTTTACAAGTTATAGCTACATTTTAAAGCTGATCTGCCTCAGCAGGCTAACAGTGCTCGTCAAGATTAAAATGACTGAGATGGTTAATCAAATCAAAGAAAAGTCATTCCCGCATGACGCTTTCATTTGAACTATTAAATAGAGCAATGTAAGACGCCAGTAACATTACGTTGCAACCGTTTAACAATAGAGTGTCAGTAATATCAAGTAATGCAATCTACTGAACTTTTTGCACCTTTTTGGCCTCTAAATAAAGTTTTTTGGTCACACTTTAGTTTGGGGACCAATTCTCATTATTAACTAACTATTAACAATGACTTTTTTCTCAATAAACTCTTAATTTGCTGTTTATGAATAGTAAAGTAGTTGTTAGGTTTAGGTATGGGGTAGGATTAAGGAATCTAAAATATGGTCATGCAGAATAAGATATTAATATGTGCTTTACAAGTACTAATAATCAATCAATATGCTAGTATGCATGTTTTGTTTAGTTTTTTTGTGAGAAATACCATTATGTGTGCAAGCTCCTCTCCTTTTTGAACTTTGAAATGTTTTGTTTTTTTTTAGCTTACACACCATAATGTAGTATCTACTAACTCCTTCAGTATTTGCCTGTGATGTTTTAAGTTTTATTTAAAGGCTGTTTTCATATATTTTAAAATAAAAATATAGTCACACTTTATTTTATGGTCCAATTCTCGCCATTAGCAAACAATTAACTATGACTTTTGCCTCAATAAACTTGCTCCTTATTAATAGTTAGTAAGGTAGCTGTTAAATTTAGGTATTGGGTAGGATTAGGAATGTAGAATATGGTCATGCAGAATATGTGCCTTATAAGTACTAATAAACAGCCAATATGTTAATAACAGGCATGCTAATAAGCAACTAGTTAATAGTGAGAATTGGTCCCTAAACTAAAGTGTTTCACATTTGTTAAATGTTTGCTGGAAGTTTGAAAAACAGAAATGCAAAATTAATAATTGAAATTTTCAATATAAAGATTTGAAGTTTAAATTTATGTTAATGTTGATGGAAAATTCTATATATAGTACTGGAAGTGAAAATTATAGTAAAAAAAAAAATGGTCCCATATTACAGTATGTTACCAAAAATATTATTTGCAAATACATCACTATTTGGTGGGGACATTTTAAGCTTGCATGCTTGCATTATTTATTTATTGCTGTTTTTTGCTACAAATATGATTTGCAAACAGTTTAAATTAATTACATTATAATAAATCCAGGTCTTTCTTTTTATTTCCTTAAACCCTTTACTGCAGTAGAAACTGGTTGGGAGTTTTTGTCTTGTGTCTCCTGTTTTTCTTATTGCCCTATCATGTCTAGCTCTCTGCTGACTCCAGATACTGCTTTGCTTAAAACAATCCTCTTTTCTCAAAATAGGCCCTCGTTTAAGCCCCTCCATTGAGGACTGCAAACCACACATGGATGTTTACTGCATCATTCCCATATGGACATGAGAAGTAGCATAATGATGTTGCAGCATTACATGGTTTCTGTTGTGCCAAGAAAAATCTGGCACTGGCTGATACAAATGCTGTAAACATTTAGATATCATCACTAAAACTTTCTTAAAGGGATAGTTTATCAAAAACAATAAATAAAAAATCTGTCATAATTTACTCACTTTCAAGTCAATCAAATCTGTGGAACACTTGCTAATGTTGCATAACCAAAGAGTTGAAAAAGAAAAAGAAAGAATGAAAATTTCATACTCAAAATAAATATTTTTATAATACAAAAGAAAATCATAGTTTTGGAATGAATTGAGGGTGAGTAAATGATGCTATAATTGTATTATTTATTTTTGGACTATCCTGTTAAGCAGTGTCTTGAGAAATACTAAGTAATATATTGACTGAGTAATATTAACAAACAGCATGCACTTACTATAGGGTTAGAGCTTCTTTTTGTTTTGGTGTGGGGGGAGGGGGTGGTAGTTGCATGTAATTATACATAACTAACTTTTATAACTACATTAAATACATATTATTTTTGAAAATACATTTTTTGGTTTCACACTTTAGTTTGAGGACCAATTCTCACAATTAACTAACTCCTAATTTGCTTCTTATTGATAGTTAGTAAGGTCATAAGTTAAGTTATGCTTAACTTATGGGGTAGGGGTAGGATTAAGGGATCTAAAATATGGTCATGCAGAATAAGACTTAATATGTTAATTAATGTGCTTTGTAAGCAATAATAAACAGCAATATGCTAGTAATATACATGATAATATGCAACGAGTAATAAGTGAGAATTTGTCCCTAAAGTGTTTCACATTTTTTAAATGTTTGGTGAAAGTTTAAAAAACAGAAATGCTAAATTAATAGTTGAAGTTAAAGACGCACTCTCTTGCACTTCAATATAAAGATTTGAAGTTTAAATTTATTATGTTGATGGAAAATTCTATATATAGTTTTAACCAGTTTTAAACACCTCTTTGCTTTAATTTCAAATATGCATGCTGCAAATATGCAAGTCATTTCAAACTATGACAAATAAATCCCAAAATATTTAATGTATTCTCTCAAATAAAATAAGCTCATAAAACAACACAAATAATTATTAAAAAAAAATAAAAAGCAAGTTTTCGACAAAGTATTGTGTGTCACAGGTCACATCAAGTATCCAGTATACATATACACATATACAGAATCGACAAGTGAGGCGTCAAAAATATCCATGCTGATAACATCACAGTGTAAGACACTGGGACAGTGCAGAAGTATGCGTGTGTGTTTGTGGGATGAGGGCTGCAGTTTGGAGTTCTACGCTCCGTTTTGAGGCTGCTCTGCAGCGAGTGCTGCACTGACGGTGGCGAGGGTTTTTTCTGCTTTTCTGGACCAGTTCCCACCAATGCTGCATTTCTTTCTCATCACACACACACACACACACACACACACACACACACACACACACACACACACACACAGCATCAGAAGAACACAGCGTGAGGTCATGATTGACCTCAGATCAATGTAATGTAACAAAATATACTGTGTCTTGTCTCTCGGTCTCTTAAACACATGCTTTTAAACTACATCTTCTCAGTGTGCTAAGTTTAGCTATAATAATAAACACATTTATGTTCTGATTACAGCCATGTTTAATAAAGGAGCTTGTGCAAAGTTGGTCCATTTAAGGGAGAAGGATCTCTGGCTGTTCACTGTATTGAATGAAACTTAACTCATGTTATCACTATTTTATGACAGACTTTACAGCCACCAGAGGGTGCTTTTTCATATTTATCATTTGCAATATTTATTCAGCCACAATGTTTATTTATTTTCTTCTTCTTCTCCTTCTTCTTATTATTGTTATTATTTTGCAGATATAATGTTCAATTCTTGTTTGTGTTTTTACCATGACTAAATCAGTCTACTTTGAATAAACACTTTAATAATCATAAAATCTGTCAGTTTAATGGAAGCACAACCAAAACTAGGATAGCTAAATTTAAGTTAGAATTTAACCCTTGCAAAAAAAGGGTTACATAAACATAAACTGGCATACAATCAGACTCAATGGGGGTAGGTAATAGAAAAAATAAAACATCTGTGGTTTTTATGGCTTTTAAAACCAGCTTTACCATGTCAAAATTTAAAAGAGAACATAACGTTCACAAAAAAAAAAAATCAAAAAGTTTTTTTTATTTACTTTTAAAATGTGTCAATTAAAAGAAATTTATAAACATTTGTAAAATCTAATAAAACAGTAATGTAATAAAAAATAATTTGATATGAACAGACAAGTACAGTATTTTATTTGAAACTAGGATTAAAGGATGAATTTACTCATTTGAAAGATATTTCTAAATAGCAAAATCCATGCAGCATTGATGAACAGAGAATCCCAGAACACTGAAGATTTGAGATGGGCAGTACAAAGAACAATAAAGGTCCAGGTACTACATTTGTTCGATGATTTTGTTTTTCATGAAGTCTCTCTTTGATTCATCCATTCTACCTTTATTTACAAAATTTGTTACTGGTTTTAGAATTTATATTGCTCCTTTAAATGGAAAGTTTTTTTTTTTTGTTTTTTTTTGCTGCACAGGTTTACTGTATGTGACGGAAACTGCTGTAAAGTAGTGCAAAAGACAAACACAGAATGAAGAATGACAAAAATTCTCAATAATACTTATTGGCAGCAACAGTCAATGAAGTCAGAGTTTAAACACATATAAACCCTTCATATCTCTCATCTTTTTAAGAATACAAAAGATGGATGATATCACTTTATATATGAAATTTTAACTCACCTTAAGTTTTCATACATAAGTCAAAAATAAAAAAAGGTTATGATAACTAAAAACATATCTCTGTAAAGTTAGATATTATTTCATATAATTAGAAAATCCTGTGTTGAAATATGTTATCACTAGTAGTTAAAGATGGGTTAGTCCAGACAGAAAACTAACTGAGTCAGGCATCCTCTCTCACAGCACCTGATCCTTTGATTTGTGGTTCTCCATCTCAACAACCATATCATCGTCCTGTCTCCGGAACACCCGCACAACAATATAAATGATGAGGATCAGGAGAACAACGCCAATGAATCCACCCACAGCTATTGCCAGAATTCCAATTTCAGAGAATGAAACTATAAGAAGAAAACAGAAAGTATTCTTAATGCTCAGCTGCCTTATTGAATGTTTATTTTATTCGGATTATTTTCAAATGTATGTTCTTATTAACATTATTATCATTTTTATTACCAGTACTGGCATCTTGTTTCATTTATTTTTCCTGTCACCGCTTTTATTATATATACTGATGATTTGGCAATACTGTATAAAATAATTATGCCCATTAACACAGCTGGGTAGTAACTGATTACATGTAATCTGGATTACGTAATCAGATTCCAAAAATTAAGTACTTGTATTTAGATTAAATTACATTTTAAACTACTCATAATCAGACTACAGTTATTTTATTGATTAAATAATTATATATTATTCACACAATATCAATAAATTATTCATCATTTATTGATACTCCCCAATTCTTTTTTTCCATCTTTTAAGTCTTCCTTTCTAATTAATTATTAGCTTTTCATTAAACTCATGTCTCTCATGAACCCCAGTTTGTGAAACCTTAACATAAGGTAATGTTTAAACACACACACACACACACACACACACACACACACACACACACACACACACACACACACACACATATATAACAAAAAGAAAACAAGTAGATAGAATAGAATAAGAAGAGCGAAAGCTTCTTTTTTTTCTTTCCCTTTGTATTTTTATATCAATATGGTACAAGATTATCCCATTTAAATCAATGTGATTAACAAGTCAGGTCAAAAGTGATCTAAAAGGAATCAAAAAGTAGTCCGATTATATTACCTAAAATGTGTAATGTAATGGATTACATTACTAACTACAAATTCTGTCA